AGAAGAAGAAAGAAGAGGAAAAAAAGAGTAATCTGATACAATTTGATGAACTTGACCTACACCTATGGAAGCAGTAGCTCAAAAGAGGGAACAAATCCTAACAGCAAGAATCATTCCCACCTCCTCCATGCACAGAGTAGATAGGGATGAACAACTTGGACATTGGCTACCCAGAATGGGGGGCTACCAAGGGAAGAAGTGACTGGCTTACAAGCTTTCAAGGGGGAACCTAGATCCAGAGGGCCTGGAGGAAGGTAGAATCTCCACTTAGTATCCAGTCTGTCTAGGTGGGGCTGATGAAAGGAAATACGGATAGGTCTCTTATGATACAATAGTGAATAATTGTTACCAGGACTGATTGTGACGGTTGGAAATGTAAAGGTAGACGTTTTGTTGCCAGGAGGGGAGTGAATAACTTTGCAGTCTAGGAGTGGAGGTCTCTGGGACCATCAAGGGAGAAGAGCGGAGAGCGGGACCCTGCCCAGAGGAGCAGTGACGCCAGAGATGGAGGCAGAGACGATGATGTGGAGAGATTGAGTGTTTGGGGACTTCAGGCCCAGAGAGGGAGAGGGGCTGTGTGCTGATGACTGGGGGTCAGTTTTGCAGGGTGTCCCCTTAGGTTGATTGATGGTGCATGGAGGGTGGTACTGTAACCATGGCAATGAAACGGTATACAATAAGATGAATGTAAAACAAATGTTTTCCCACAAAAACTATCACATAATTTACAATAAAACTTTAAAAATAAATAAATATGGCAGACAGTACTCTGAGATGTTACCTAAATTAATGTGGCTGTCTCTTGTCTTTGTAGGCAGTATGAAACTGTGGTCCCACTAGAAGATTGTATTGTGACTGAGGTTACAGCAACCCTGCAAGAATGGGCCAGTCTGTGGAAACAACTGTATGTGGTAAGTAGTTGATAGCTAGTTTAGTGGACTATTTAAGTTCCATGGTACCAAGTCAGAATACTAATTTTCTAACCTGTGTCAATTCTGCATGATGCCATAGTATAAGCATTTGACCTCAAAGGCAGTTTGAGCCACAAGATTGGTGATTCAAACTTACCAGCTGCTCCTCCGAAACCCTATATAGGGTTGCTACGAGTTGGAACTGACTCTATGGTGTTTAAAACAATTCTGCGTGTATATATATATGTTTATGTTTATATTTATTTTTATTTCTATATATTTATGTGTGTGTGTGTTTGTATTTACATTTTACCAAGTACGTGTTTGTAATATTAATTCAAATATGGAGGGCCGAGGTTTTGTCCAATTTGAAGAAAACACTGTATTCATATGTCTGTGGATTCCTCACTTCACCCTTGTCACTAGAATGTAAGTTTCCTAAAATCTAAGACCTGAGCTATCTTACCTATTGCTGTCTCCTCAGATACTTTTGCAAAAGAAGTAAAAAAAATAATTTTGAAGTTGAAATAACTTGATAATTATTTAATTTCATTTTTTGTGAGCCTCATGGTGAGTTAAGACCAAGAACTTTCGTTGTGGTTAAGTGCCAATGAGTCCGTTTCAACTCATAGTGACCATGTATAGGATTTCCAAGGAGTGAATGTTGAGTTTGAACTGCCGACATTTTGTTTAGCAGTCCAGCAGTGCCACAGTAAGACTCCTATTGTTGTCATGTCCTGTCTAGTTGGTTCCGACTCATATTGATCCTGTATGGAGTTTCAAAGTTGCAGTTAATGGTTTTGAATTACTGACCTTGTGTTTCACAGTCCATTACTGATCCTATAGTACCACCCCAGGACTCCTATTAGGAGTGTCTTTATAGCTACTTAGTTTAAAGGCTATGTAATAAGGATATGATACTTTGCTAGGTCAACAATTAATAGAAAGATTAATAAAAATCACTATCCCAAGAAGAGGATACACAAACAATTATAATACTTATACTAAAAATAAGTGAGAAACTCTAGCAAGATGGCAGACTAGGCAGACATTGCTATATAGAGCCTCTGCAATAAAGATACAGAGACCGAATGAAACAGACAAGAGCACAATCCTGGAATCTTAAGCTTCAGATTAAAGGTTAGAGAAATGGATAGAACACCTACTGGTGAAGTTGAGCAGGTGTGGTGAAGGAGACTAACTGGTGAATGGACTGCTGTCCAGACACAGTGGCCATCTTGAACTTTTGCAAGCTGATTTGGAGAGACATACAGATGGTCGCCTAACATGGCAGATTCACACGGGCTAAGGAAAAGGTGCGATTTCTTCTTGCTCCCCAGAGCTCCATGAATAACAGAGGTGAAGCTAGTCCCCACCCTCATCTATCACCAGCATAGACCCTGCTTTCTGGGAGTTTGGAGTTTTTTAGTTTACACAGAGGCTACATATCAGAATTACACTGGCAGGAAACCTTCATTATCAGTCACACTCTTCCTGGCTGCCCTCTGGTTCTGACATACACTGAAACTAGGAACCTGAAGGGGATCCATGGACTACTTCTGGATTGGGTATCCTGAACATCGATAACATCTATACCTAAAGGAACTCCGTCTATGTCTGGAGTCTCAGCCATCTCATTCTTCCTATGCCCACCTAGGCTTTTCTCCTCTCTCAGGTCAACAATTACACTTTTTTTTGTTGTTTGTTTTTTCTATCATTGTTCCATTGTTCTTATTTGTTTATTTTTTCTTTTCCTTTCTTTCTTTCCCTTCCCATGATTTTTATACTTTTTATCTAAGCTTTTGTTTTTTTCTTCTGATTCTCATTTGTACCACTTTTTAGTCCCTCTTTTCATGTTCCTCTCTTTTTGTTTTTTTAACATTTTTTCCTCTTCCTTTTCTCTCTTATTTTTCTCTTGTATGGCTCTAAATTCCTGTCCCTCTTTTCTCTTGTTAGTTATTTTGTTCTTTTTCTTGTTGCTGCCTGTAGTTTTGTTTTTTAACTCCTTTATTCTGTTTTCACTGTTGTTTGTTTGTTTCTGTTTTGTTTTCCTATGGGTGTTTTCTCCTCTTACTACACCCGACAGGAGGCAACAACCATGCCCATACAGCTCAGCCACACCATACTCTCTGCACCCCTACCCACTGGACAAGAGTTACAAATCGTAAGAGAGCCTAAGAATTATGTGGAATACCAGGAAGAGGAATAACTTACAAGTGATTGGAATTCCAGATCATAAAGAAACTATAAAATGCCTGGAGAAAATTGTTGAAGAATTGTTGAACGGAAACTTCCCTAACACTATGAAAGACGAGAAGATAACCCATTCAAGAAGCTATATGAACCCCAAACAGGAAAGACAACAAAAGAAAATCACCAAGACATATCACAATCAAACTTTCCAAACCAAAGACAAGGAAAAACTCCTGAGAACAGCTTAGAAAAAGCTAAAAGTTACTACAAAGGAAAGTCAATAAGAATAAGGCCTGATTTATTAGCAAATACCTTGCAGGCAAAAAGGCAATGAGATGATGTGTACAAAACTGTGAAAGGAAAAAATTGCCAACCAAGAATCATGTTGTTGTTGTCAGGTGCCATCGAGTCGGAACCGACTCATAGCGACCCCATGCACAGCAGAAAGAAACAATGTCT